AAATATGATGCTGCACACCAGAAACTGACACCACATTGTAACTGACTATACGTCAATAAAAAAGAAGGAAAAAATGACATATAAAATCAAATCAATCAGAGCTTACACGTGCTGATACTGAGAATCAATTGTAAAACACGCCTCACCTTCCAAAATTCAGCCACCATCACTCCTCCTACGTGCCCAACTCATACTCAATCACTCTGAAATGATGCTCCAAAGTGCCCGGTCAGAAGAGTTTCTAAATTTAAATAGCACAGGAGGGGGGGGGGGGGTGTCAATGCTTCTTCGTTTTTTGCTATGCTGAAATTAGTTAAACTAAAATGTAATTCTCTACTTAAATTGTGGGATTCGAGGTGACAGAATAATGGTTCTTAATTTTAAATCAAATTTATCATTGTTAAAAGGAATATGGCAGTCCGTGTTTGAAAAATACAGGTTTTACTTAAAAATTACACCATGTCTGGGGAGGGAAAAACCTAAAAAAAAAAACAGTCGTGAAATGGTTTCATGAATTATGCTACTCTATCTCAACGATTATGTGCAAGAGGTGGAAATGATCTTTACAAAGATTTCTTAATATACAGAAAAGCTTACGTTACAAGGTTAAACGGGGAAAAAAGCACAAGACAGAATTTTATTTGGAACACAAACACATGCATGGCAAACACCCAGAGGACCTCGCCCCAGCAGCAGTTCCCCAGGCACCCGGGGGCCTGAGCCCTGTTCCCACGCCAGCCTGACGGACACACATACAGGCACTCAAACCACAGTGTGATGACTAAGGAGCGACCACAGGACCCCAGCACAGGGGACAGTTGGAAAATGCAGCAGGTTCAAGGCTGAATGAGGCCCCCTCCCTCCCAGCCCACACATCTAGGTGCTGGGATCCAGAGGCTCAGCTGCGCCCAGAGGAAGGAGCTGGAGTCAGTCCGGCCGCCCAGCCAGGAGCCAGGGAAGCGGCTCAGGGAAGTGGCTCAGGGATGCGCCTTCCTGGCCCCGGGTTCTCTTCCACCACCGCCTTCTCTGAGCACGGGATGCCCTCCCAAGCTCCATGCCCCCAAGCTTCCGTGCTGCCCACAGGACCATGTTTACTCGCACACGGCAACCCCTGCCCTGAGGTCACAGCGCTCTCCTGACCTCCTCCCCCACCGTCCTCCTCTGGGAGACGGCGGGCACCTGCAGGGCCCACCCAAGACCACGGGCTCCACTGGGAGGCGAGTTGAGGATTTGGAGAGGCTGTGGCTGGCACTGCTGGTGACAGTGCGTGCGCGCGCGTGTGTGTGTGTCTGTGTCTGTGTTTGTGCCCCAGGGATGCATGCATGCACGCACGTGTGAGGACGCTGTGTCCTTCAACAGTGGGACCAATGCCTGTCCCCGGGGGGTGAGGCGCCCCTGGAGGAGACCAGTCACGGCTGCCGCACTGCCTCCTCCTCCCCCCACCTTCCCAGGGCACTTCTCTGAGCATATCTTCCCTCCCAGCAAGCTGTTTCTGCGACCTTGACCATCCTGGCCAGCCTCCTGATGAATACGAACCCTCTGGTGCTGTAAGGAACAGCCCCTCCTTGTCTGATCCTGTTTGTGAGCCCCAAATGTGTTAGCCACCGTTCACTTCCCATGTCCTTTTTAAGTCAAAACACATGGTGCTAAGGGGCTGCTACATGCCAGCGCTTGAAAGTTAGGGCCCCTGTGGCTTAGAGGGCTGCTCCCTGCCTGGGACGCCCCACCCATCCAAGCTGTGCCCCAGGCGTGAAGCCCAGGAGCTGGGTGCACGGCAAAAACTCCTGCAGGAACCTCACACCCAGACAGCGTGTCTCACCATCAAGGAACAGGGCTGCTTCCTGTATCTCAGCTGAGAAGGGGGGAAGCACATCACAATGTAACACAGCCCGCCCTGGGAGCTGAGGCAGGTGTGCGTTCAGAAAGCGGCGCACACGTGGCTGAGCCCAGTGCCACCTGCACTCCGACAGTCTGGACGGTCATGTCACAACCAGGGAGCTGACCCGAAAGGGCCACCACGGTGCTCAAGAATCCGAACCACAGAGCCCTTTGACCAGTTCTACCCTCTGGAGGAAAAACGCGTATTCTCAGCACCATCAGTTAGCAGAGCGTCTGAGGCTTGCCTACCGCAAAGCCCAGCAAACCAGAAGACCCCCGGCCCAGTGGTCCGCGCACGTGCGTTCCCCACAGCCCCGTGATCTCTGCGGCCGGAGCGGACGTGGACGGGCAGCATCTGAGCGGGTCACTCTCAGCTGCATGTCACTTGCTGGTCCCCCACGCCCCTGGAGACTCGGCCGGGAGGCCTTACCAGGCTCCCCACCGCCCCCCAGGCCCACCCAAGTGCCCCCACCTGCCATCCCTCATCACTGCCCGGCCACCCCACTGAGCCCCCTGCTCCAGGCTGCACCCCTGCTGCGCTCTCTCATCAGACAGGGCGCTGCTGTAAGGTCCTGGAGTCCGGGAAGGCCCCACGGAGCCAGCCCGGGGGGTTCTCAGCGCACTCACACTTCCTCTTAGTAACATGAATGTCTAACTGCTGTAATTAAACTTCGTAATTACTTGCTTAAAATCTGGCTTCTCTCCTACCACCAAAAGCTCCAAGGGGGCAGGAACCACGCTCAGTTCACCCACCTGCATCCCCACCGCCTGCAGAGGCCAGGAGACGCCCAATCAGCACTGGCCGAAAGGGGCTGACAGGTCCCCACCCGCGGCCGCAGGCGCCCTGGGCAGGGCTGCGTGAACGGGCACGCCTCTGCCTGGAAGATGGGGGGGCAGTGCTCCGGGCACCTTAAGCCGACATGGACCCCGCAAGATGATGAGGGCCGGCTTGGACCATACCATGAATGCTCCCCAGCTTGGGAGACAATCTGAAAGACTCTCCACCCACCAATGACATCGCAAAGCCAGGACCAAAGAAACAAACGTCCACTTACTAACACCGTCAGGAGTCAAAGGTGCATTTTACACAAAGGTTCCAACCCACACTGTACATGCACTCAGGGCACACGTGTGTTCTTTGTGTGTGTACACGTGTGCACGTGTCTGTGCGTGAGCGGATGTGGCGGGGGTTACCGCAAGGCAAGGAGAGTCCCTCTGAGTTTCACTGAAGGCACCACGTGGACAAATTCTATTTTCTCCCGCTTTTCTCTCCTCTGGACAATTAACATCACGGTCATGTCCCTCACCCTCACTGGCTGGTAATTCAGACAGAGGCATTAAGGATCACTTGGGCCTTACAATGAAAGTTGGTGGTAGAGTCGTTAAGGCAGACTTATTTACCACATTAATTAAATGGTCTATTTAACATGGAATATCAATTCTCTAATCACATCTCAGCTGAGCTTCTTTCAATTAGCAGCTCTGAAGTCTGCTGACAGGGGTCCTACTGTTCCGGGGCCATTAGGAACATTTCCACGCCGTGCCAGACGAGGGGCGAGACGCGGGAGCGCCAGCCCTCTTGGGAGCCGGCCTCCCCGCCCGGGGAGGTGCTGCGGGCCAGGCGCCAGGCCGTCAGCTGTCACAGTGGAGTGGCCGCCTGGGAAACCCTGGGGCCGTGAGGGGTGGGGCGGCCGACAGGGACTGAGGGGGTAAGTCCTCACCCCAGGGGATAACCTGCCCTCGGGGAACCTCCTCTCCTGATTACAACGGCAGGATCTGAAGCGGACCAGACACCAAAATGGCTAAAGACACAACCCCAGAAAAACCCAGTACCAAGTTGGGAAGTTTCACATAAAGCCAGATTAACACCAGTTTTAAACAAAAATGTCACCACGGAAGAGTAAATCCCTCCTTTGGTTATTTATTTTTTTATCCATAGCTGAATTAAAAAGTAGATCCTGCACATATATTGTCAGAATTTTTAAGAAAACTGAACTATAAACTGGGTAAAGCATATTCCCTGCTGTAACATAAACAGAAAACAAAATACACAAACAAAAATTCCTCAGAGAGAAACAGGTCACCCAAACTAAACGCCCGATAAACCAATTATTTTGCATGTAATTAATATTCCCATAAAATGAAATGCTACTAGTATATCAGGGAGAAAAGTGATGCAAAGCTGCAGAAATGCAATTAAAGAAGATTCGGTTTTCAGCTTGTAAGCAAAACATTCAACTGACTATCTATCACCTTAACCTGGTCCATGGACATCCCCACCATTAAAGCCAGCGCTCTGACGGCCATTAACACAAAGCCACGTTCCCTGAATGCATCACCTTTCCCCTCATATATTTTGAGAAAGAAGATATTAATAATAGTAACTGCATCTTAATTTCTCCAGCAGTTGAGCACGTGGATTTAGACTTAAAGCTAGCACCAATGAGAAGACTGCTATTCCTTATTATTAGTGGTCATTAATAACTAAACTTAACGGCAGATTTCAGTACTGGAATAATTGTGCATCAGAGTGACGTCCCAAGGCCACCACAGCTCACATTTAGTGTCTGTGAGCAGAAGCAGCATGGCATGGTCTTACCTATGTATTCGCAGATGAAGACCACGAAGAAAGGGGTGACAAGGTCGTTGATGCCCTGAACATATCCACTGGCAGGGTGACGGATGGCCCATATAAACAGGATCCTTTCAAAAATCTGGAAGAAAATGACAGATGGGGAAGCGAAAAGTCAGCACGTCAGAAACTTTTAAAAGGTATGCACGCTTAAAAGAGGCGCTATCAATATTTGCCAATCTCTCATTTTAAAATACAAGTATGTTTAATGTTTCTTGGTAGAATGCCAGTTACCTTAATTTTTTTACAAGCAATACGCAGTATCTCACCGACGCCTGGACTCAGTCCTACCACTCGAGCTGGCTCCCGCAAAGGATGCTCTCTGCTCCTCACAGCCCCGGGGAAACCACTGCACGCGGCTGCCCCGGACGCGGTCTGGCAGCACGCAGCCCCTCGGCCCACCAGGGAGCACCTCCTCATGGAGGGAGGGACAGGCGGGCAGGCACAGGGAAGGGTGGATGGGTGGGGGGTGCACGCATGGATGGGTACATGGGCGGGCGGGTGGCTGGATGGAAGGATGCAAGAGAGGGAGGGGTGGGTGGATGCTCTACTTTCCCTCGTATGGTAGGAAGCCTTTCTTAACTGAGGTATAGCTGACATGTAACAATGTATCGGTTTCAGCTGCACAACATAACAGTTCAATATTTGTGTACGCTGTGCTGTGAAGTGATCACCACAGTGCGTCTAGCTAACACCGATCACCACACACAGTTACAACATGCTCTTCTTGTTTTGAGAACTGTAAGAGCCATTCTCTTAGCAACTTTCAAAAACACACACCACCTGGACTCATCAAGCTGCACGTAGCAGCCGGGACTTGTTTTCTTCGGCCCCTTTCCCCACGTCACCCCGCCAAGCCCCACCTCTGGCGACCACCCATCTGCTCTCTGTAGCTTTGCGCTTGGTGGAGTCTTCTAAATAGATTTTTTTTCAGATTGTTTCCCATTACAGGTTATTACAAGACACTGGGTACAGTTCCCTGTGCCATGCTGTAAACCCCTGTTGCGTGTCTATTTTACGTGCTGTAGTGTGGGTCTTTGAATCCCGTACTCCTAACTTATGCCCGCCTTCCCCCTCAGGTAGCCATGAGCGTGTTTTCTGTCTGTGAGCCTATTTCTGTTCTGTCCAGATTCATTTGTATTATTTTTAGGCTCCACACATAAGTGAGAAGAGATGTTTTTCAAATTCCCGGAGAGTTGTCACCATCTTCCCGTCACATCCGCTCCCACTGCAATTACCCGGACCACAAACGTGGGCGCTGCCTCCGCTCCCTTCTGCTCACAACACCCACCTCAGGTGACCTCCCTCTTCTCTCGCCCACCCGCTCTCCGCCAGCTTCATTAGCGAGAGGTACCCCACCAGGGGCAACAAGCCCCATCGTCTGCCCGCATCCGCACACACGGGCACACACACCCGGCTTCCACCCTCTGCTCCCTCCGCACCTCCTGCATCGCAGTCCTCTCCCACCCAGGCCCCAGAGTCTAGCCGCACTGAGCCCACCGGGCCGCCACCTCCCCCAGTGCCTGCTGCCTGGAAAGCCTGTCACCCTGCACTACCTGCCTTCAGCTCCACTTCAAACAGCAGCCCTCAGTGGGGCGAGAGCGGCCACCTGCTGCCCACTCCGCCCTTCTAGGAGAGCCAACTACTGCCGGCCTTGTGACCCTCCCTCCCGACCCCTCCTCCCTAGGCAGCGGGTCCCTCCGTGACTCGCCAGCTGCCAGCTCCAGCTGAGCCGGGCTCCCCGCTGTCCTGGGCCCCGTGCTAACAGTGCAGGCTGCACCAGTGAAAGCGCAAAGGATGAATTACATCATTTACAAACAAGCCAACCTTACAAAGCCAACTGTATCCGAGGTCAACCCCTCCCAACACTGCCCACATCCCTAGGGCTCACTGCGCCCATTGCCCAGATACCCCAGATCACCACCAGTCATTACACTGCGGAGCCTGGGGTGCAGACAGGGAAGCCTCTTGACCCAGGGCCCACAGCTGAGCAGGGCACGACCGGCCCTAGAATCCAGGCCGCGGCCCAGTTCCCAGCCTGGCACACCGTCCCCTGTGGGTGTTCCAGGCGCACCACAGAGCCGACCAGCCGGCAGCTCAGCGCACACCTGTAACAGCAGGCGCCTGACAGACGTTCTCTGTATGAGCAACACATTCATGCACATTTTTCATTTCAAGTCAACAGCTTTCTAGGGAGAACTGAGTATTCAAACAAGATCAGAAGACCAAACTCATTCTCCAACGGGCACCACTCATGGGGTCTCAGGACAACACTAAGCGGGGAGCCTGCTCCCCCAGCAAGAGGCTCCATCACCCCGGGGACACCAGGAGCAGCGCCCCACAAGCCAGCGTCACGTAGGATCATAACCCACCCTGCCAGGAGCCCCGAGGAAGCCGGCGGCCGGGCGAGAGCGGCACAGGGCGAGGGCCAGGAGTCAGGGAACTGAGGGCAGCCAAGAGCCAGCAAGACCCGAGGCTCCAGCGCTGCAGCCCGCAGGCCACTGAGCCCGGCCAAGGACCACGTGCGCCCAGGGGTCCCCCAGGGGCCGCAGGTGGGTCTGGGGCACAGACAACACCTTGGTCCTCGCTTCATGAATCTGCCCTGACTCCTGACCCACAGCAACTGAGGCGACAACTGTGAATAAGCATGCACTGTCGTAGGCTGCTGGGACGGTGGCGGTGCTGTTACCCAGCAATGAAGAGCTAAGACAAGGGGCGGCACAGCCCAGCAGTGGAGTGTGTGCTCAGCACACGTGGGCCTGGGTTCAGCCCCAGCACCTTCATTAAATAAACTAATTAACCTAGTGTTCTCTCCCCCACCAAAAAAAATTTTTTAAGAAAACTAAAACAGATGAGAAAACTGAGGCACAGAGAAGTTAAGAGATTTGCCCAAAGTCACACAGTCTGCGGGCAGCACAGCACAGCCTGACTGAATAGGGGCCTTCCAAGGCCTATAAAGCGCCATCACTGCTATGCTTTAAGGTAAAAGAGCTGTTTTCATACATAAATCAAAAAGAAGAGAAGACCATGAAATTATAATTTTGTAGAAGAAACAGAAGGGACTGTGAACTCCTGGTGAGCACAACCTGCATTGAATTGATGGGTACCTGCCCAGGGTCCAGCAGGGAGCCAGGCACACAGCAGGGGCTTGGGGCGTGCAGGTGTATGGGAGCACGTGTGTGTGCACACGTGTGTGTGCATGTGTGTGTGCGGAATGAAGGAAACGCCAAAGCCCAGAACACAGAGACCTCTTCCCCCTTTGCGATCTCGACGCCCTGGCAAGTGGTAATTTAAGCAGGGGCACACTCCCACCTTGAGCTAGCCCCGCACTCGGGGTTTGTCACACACACACATGTGCACACACACACAGCTGTAAACCTGCTCACAAGCATGGACATAGTTTTGCCCTCAGCGGCCTGGGCACCAAGAAAAGCATTTCAGAGCAGATGAGTTTGCCAGCGTCACCCTGGGAGCACTGACCGGGAAGCTACGGTCCCGCCAAGTGCAAGCGACCCGGGGTCTGCGTGCGCGACTGGAGGGGACAGTTGGCTGTGCCACGAAAGGCCTGAGAAAGCCACAGGGGCCTGGGCCGGCCCGAACGCCTGCCTCAGTCCCAGAGCAAAGCCTCCCCCTGGCCCAACCTCTCCCGGGGAGAGTCCGGAGCAAACTGTCCTGCAATGGGCTGGGCCCCCGAGTGCTGTGTGAGGGCCCTGAGGACAGCACGCGGGGAGAATCAGTCCTGGAGCAAGGCAGGCGGCGTGGCGGGGTGGCCGAGCCGTCCCTCCAGGGGACAGGCCTCTGGAGCCCGGCACCGGCACGGCTCCCGCCACGAAGGAGCAGTCGGCCGTCACCGCTGACCTCCGCATCCCGGCCGCAGTGCAGGCGCCCTGAGACGTTAGCGCACGTGGAAAGGGAGCAGTCAGACTACTTCGAGGGAAAGTTTAGAATTCAGATCTCCTAGTAGCTAAGGAAAGTTATCAGTCAGTTCAAATTACCTAGGTCTACTCTACTTGATCTCTCTTGATGACGTGGAAGTGTTGTTTTCAAGACTTTAATCCCAGTAACGTGTAAATAGAGGGACAGGCAGCTCCAGCGTGAAACAGAGGCGGCACTCAGTGGCGGGCAGGCGGAGGCGCGCAAGGAGCCCACAGAGACCTGCAAGCCGGTGCGAGCCCCGGCCCTGCCACCCAAGAGACGCAGGCCTCCGGGCCGTCCCGCCCTGAGGGCAGGCCGAACGCACCAGGATGGAGCTGTGACTCCCACGGGCCTTCTCCCCGCCAAAGCAGCCCCCAAAAGAGCCAGCTCCGGGCCCTCTCCCCAGTCCCCTGCAGCAGGCCCGGGGGCCACCATCTCCTGGGTGGTCTCCCTGCCGACACCCTGCACTGGCCGCCCCAGGGAGTGGCTCAGGGGCTGCCAGGGCGTGACCACATCAGGTCCCGCCTCCCGTGCCCCGTGGCTTCCTGGAGGCAAGACGTAAACTCCTTGCCGCGATCCAAGGGGCCTGAGCTTCGGGCCCGCCTCCACAGGGCCCTCCGTGCCGAAAGCACCCACTCCGGCGTCTGCCCCGTGCCTGCTGCCCCGAGCTGCCCGCTGCCCAGCGCTGCCCGCCCCCGTCCCCGCTCTGCGAGCCCTCCCCCGGGGCGCCGGCTGCAGGGGTCGGGAGCAGCACTGGCCTCTGAGGCCCCGGGCAGCAGGGCTGTAGGACGCCTAGCGCAGCCCCAGATTCATCGGCTGTGTGACCACCTGGCTCAGTGAAGGCTGCAGACAGAGGGGCAGCGACCACAGGCCGGCCGGGACGCTGCTGGGCAGGACAGCGCCTGCGATCAGGACCCACAGGCCCAGCTGCAAGGGCGCGGGGCCCCTTCTCCCTTGTCTTCCTCCTTCACTGATCTGTTCTGTATCTGTTGTCTTCAGTCACTGCACTTGCGTGCGCCTCCACTTCCATGTTGAAGTCACAGACAGCAGTGCTGACTGCGGAGTCACTCAGTGGAAAGCTGGAAAGCTCCCCCCAATCACGTGACACGGGACAGCGGGCCCCAGGTCCCCCCGCCCCCCGGGAGTTCCTGCCTTCGTGACCTTCGG